TGCTGTTTCACACACACACACACACACACACACACACACACACAAACACACACACAAACTCTCTGCAGATGCGTAAAGTCCCTAAACACCTCTTTTACTATTAATTTTCTTTCCAATTGGGAAAGTGTTTTTATTCGTTTCTCTTCTGCAAAGTAACTGAGTAACTTTTCTGGGTCTGAGACCAACGAGAGGCTTCACACTACGTTAACTTTTTGAACTCCAATTACCTGTGGTTCAGAGAGATAACCCGGTCCTTAAAAAGTTACTGCAATAATTCTGTTCTTTTTAAATCCATTGTAATTTTAAACCCGCCATTAAACTTCATTTTTCTTTCTCCAAAATAAATGGGATTTATGTCCATCTACGTGGAATGATAATCTCATTTATGTGTCAAAGATCTGGTCAGAATCCCATCTTACTATTCAGCGCTGCAACCACACCAAACTACGTGGCTGAGTGACAGTTCTGTATCTCGGCACATGCTCATCCCAAACCTGGAGCAACCTTCCCCTTTATTTTCCACCTAGAAGACCTGATTGTTCAAGCTGTCACAAATATCTCTTTCTCTCTCCCGACCACCATCTTCCAAAGTGAGCATCTCCTCCTTTGTCCTTCGTTCTGTCTCTGTCTCTTGAAGCTGCATCTCTTACTGTCTTTGTAACATCTCCTTATTTAAACGTGCACCTTCTTTTACAAATCTGGGTGCTCCTTAAGGTGCATGATCTATGTCTTCATCTTTGTATGACCAGCACCTAACATAATGTTTATTTTCTACTAGCCATTCAATACGTATTTGTTGAATTGAATTCAATTTTTGAATAGCCAAGTAACTACTAGAAACGTGTTCCACTAGAAAAGTCTCCAGCAGGTCTTGCCTCACATGTTCACAGTATTTCAGTGTTTGTAGAGCACGTTCGTGAATCCTGTCTCATCTGGTTTTCAGATGGATGAAGGAAGGATTTAGGGATAAGTGGTGGGTATAAAAGCAGTCAAGCAACTTGCCCAAGCCACACTGATGATCTTGAAAAAGTCAGATTCAAATTTGGGTCTTCGGGAGTCCAAGTTCAAGTTTTTTTCTACTATAAAACTAGACTTTCTTCCAAGTGTCTTATTTTACTCTGACGGCTCTTAATTTTGACTGTACATTAGAATGATCTGTGGTGCCTTAAAAAATGCCTGTGCTCAGGCCTCACCCCAGACCAATTAAACCAGAATCTTCGGGGGAAGGACTTTGGCATTAGTATTTTTAAATTTTCCACAGAAAGCCATGGGTTTTTACATTATTTTTCACAGGATTAATTGCTTTGGCCAGATGCCTGGGCGTGATATGGGCATGGACCCAGCTTCTTCTGTGAGCTCCTGTTATTCCCTTCTTCTGTTGAAGTTAATTCACCATATGGTATTGAGCATGATGTGACATCTCTTGGGGTATCCTTTTCATCATCTGTCAAATTAGGGCGCTGTGTAAGGAATCTATGCAGTCCCTTCCAACTCCTCAGTTCAAAAACGGAGTCTTGGTGTTGTGTGGGTTGAAATGAGGGGTGTGTACAGGGAGTGTATGGAGAAGACAGCAGTGCCATTCATGCCACAGTCACAGATACATGCAGGCATTTTTACACAGTCCTGCTAGCCTGTTCCGACAACGGGGCCTATAAAATCTCAGCTCTATATATTACTTCTGACATTTCAGCAACGTAGCTAAACTTTTTTATTAGTCAGAGGGTAGATAGCAGGTGTTGGGAACTATACAGCCGGTGCCTGGTATATAAGAAGCCAAAAACATTCAGAGTGTGACGAGGAATGAAAGCTGCCACTTAGATTCTTCAATTGACACGAGAGACAAGCATATGCTCAAGCCCATTACATGAAGGGCGATATTTGTTTCATATGCCTGAAACCGTTTTGCGATGCAAACAAAAGTAGAAAGGAAAGCTTCCTGGGCCTTCCTCCCACGTTGACCAGTTGCCTACCACACATGGCACCGGGCTTCTGGGCTAGACAGGGTTGTCTGCTGCCAGTCCTTGACAGAACCGGTCTCAGGACGTTCAGTGTCTCTTCGATGTCATCTGGAAAAAGCACACATGGAGGAAATTGACCTTTCAGCCTTGCATAACTTGGGTGTCGCTGTAACAGGGAAGTTTGGGTTAGGAGCCAAAGCTCATTCCTAACTCTTGCTTTTTGGGAAGCAGCACCATGGGATAATCATAACCAATGCTTGCCTAGGGCTGGAGAGTTAACAAAACACTTCCCAATCCTCCTTTACTCTGATAGCAGCACTGTGGGAAGTTGTTATCATTACAACTTAATGGATGAGGAAACAAGACCTCCCATGACTTCCTAAAATGGAAAGGATAAATAGAGTCAGAGCTGGAGCTGAATCGAGCTCTTCTGACCCAGGGCCACTGCCCTTCCCTCCTCAGCAGGGCTGAACCTGAACTTCCAGCCCTCTTAACACTGGTTCATTTCCTCACTTAAGAATGGGATGTCTGGGCCCTGCCAACTGGTTTTTTTGACTTAGCTTTCCAACTAATTCACGGGTTAACTTGGACATATGCCTTCCTTTCCTTCTGCTTCGGAGGCCCTCCTTCCACAGATTGGTTTAAGAAAATATTGACATTGGCTATGGGATTAAGACATTTTGTTTTCTTAATAGAATCTCACATATGGCTATTGTAGGGACCTTGAAAAAAAAATAAATACATGTATTTTCTTTTTATTGAAAAAATAGTACATGGTCCTTCTTGACAATTGTAAACATTTCATATGCACAAATATAAAAATATTTACATTCCCGTTTTGGAAATAACTACTGTTAATACCTTGGTGTATATCCTTTCAGACCTTTTTGTACTTGCCTATTTACAATTTATGTAAATATTACCATGACATAGCTACGTGATTTATGTATGTAGTTATCTTGCTCTGTTTACATACCCAAACATTCATATGTATGCATTATACAGATATATGCATCTGAATACATGGGCAGGCTGGGTACTGGAGGGAGACAACTTTCTGATTAGCAAAGATATAACTGTTAATCTGAAGATGCTGGTATGGTTTCCCAGCATTGACTTTTTAGGGTATCTAAGACTCAGGCCCCACTTTCATTGATTCATTCATTTATAATCTATTATATTTCAGACTCTATACTAGGACCTTTATATACATCATCTTTAATGCTTATAGGAGCCTTATAAATTAGATATTATAGTCTCCATTTTACATTTGAGGAAACTAGGGCTCAGGGAGACTTGTTGCCCAAGTTTTCACATTCAGTAAGTGGAAGAATTGGGACTTCAATCCAAGTACGTCTCACTCCAAAGGGTGTGTCTAAAGCAGTGCGATGTGATGCCCACCATAACAGAGGAATGTGTAGGGAGCTGTGGCATGTGGAGGAGTGAAAGGATACTCCGCAGCTGGGAAGCTCTGAGCTGGATGGTGGAAGATAAGACACTGGAGGATATGTAAGTGAGGAGTAGCAGAGCACGTGCAATGGGACTAAGGCATGGAATGGAAGGAAGGGCATGGCATGCCCGCAGAATAACAGGGCTGGCTACTGAGAGGAGGTGGGAAGGGCAGATCAATCAGATCGATCAGATCAAAAGGGTCTCATCAGCCATCCTCAGAGCAGAAGCTTTACCCAGCAGGCACAGTAAAACAGGATGGCCACATCTGTGTTTCAGAAAATCAGCTTTGGCGGAAGACTGCTGATGGGTGGGTTGGGGATATCGGTTAGGATGCTCTAGCAATAAGCCATATAAGAACATCTAAACTATGCAATTAACTGCAGAGGAGGACAGATGGAGTTCCAAAACATAGGAAGCAGAATAAGTAGGAACTGGTGACTATTAACTCTGGGGTAAATGAAAAGATGAATGGTTAAAGTTCAGACCCGGGAACGGGTTGATGGTGATTCCATTAACAGAAATCAGAAACGAGAGCAGGAAATGATTAGGAGAGGAGTGATGAGTTTGGGATGATTGAGTTCAAGGTCACTGGATGTCACAGGGGAAGCAGTCTGTTAGACAGATGCCTGGTGTGGTGAATACTGACTGACCAAGAGGGCTTTGACCAGCCTTGGTCATTCTGCCTCATTATTGCATCAGCCATGGTGATGTGCTCTGTAAGTTTTATTGAATTTTCCTTGTCTCTTTTGCAACTCCTTATCAGTCCATTATCCCTGATTCCTACAGGAATAAGTTGTAGATTTTTGATCTTTTTACCAAGAGGAAGAAAACTTGCTTTGCTCATTCTTTTTTTATTAAATATTTTGCATACCTTGACTGAGTTTGTGGTAAAATACCATTTTCAACATGTTAAATCAATTTAAGGTACTACAGATTCCATCAATGCATTTAACCCTCATCCCAGTATTGCCATGTTATTATCATTTACTTTTTGGAGAAGAGAATCAAGAGTTTATGATTCTTAAATGAAGCTGAACTGAAGAGATAACAACTTTTACCTAATTATGAAAGTTACATTTTCAACAGTTAAATGTGTCAGACTCCCAAACACAATACTTTCTGGGAGTTTAACTTTAATACTATTATCAGAACTTTGAATTAACAAAAACAGAAGAAATCTTAGAAATCATGTAGTTACCATATTTTCACAATACAGACTGGAGAGGCAAGGTCAGAAGGGGAAAAGTAATTACGGCAGGCCGGAGACAGAGACATGCTCAGTTCTCCTAGCTGTGACTGAGACGAATGGTCGGGGCTGTGTTTATAAATGTAAGTAGACCTACATTCATGTCTTTCAGGTGGCTGCTTCTCTATCATGCTCTGTGCTTCTCCCTGTCAAAGGCTTCAGCCCATACCGTGGAGCTAAACAATATGTTTGGCCAGATCCAGTCGCCTGGTTATCCAGACTCCTATCCCAGTGATTCGGAGGTGACTTGGAATATCACTGTCCCAGATGGGTTTCGGATCAAGCTTTACTTCATGCACTTCAACTTGGAATCCTCCTACCTTTGTGAATATGACTATGTGAAGGTGAGAATCCCGATGTCCCCTTACTGGGCCAGGCTCTCTGCTGGGAGTTAGACAAGGTTGTATGAATTAGGCCCTTCCAGGGTGGCATGTAGTGAGGGAGACACAACATCACGATGGCATGAATTCAGGTCAAGGTGGAAAGCTAAGTGCAAGCAGATGGGTAGAACTAGAAAGGTCCATGAAGGAAACTGAAACTGATGGAATATGACTCAGCCCAACACCACATCCCTTCTTTCTTCCTGTTCTCAAAGCCTTTAGGGTTTCTACTAATCTCTGTTTCAAGGTCACTTTTAATTCAACAAGCAGAAAAGGGCAGAGACCTCAGAGTAGGCAGTAATCATAGAAACAGAAACATAATTATGTCCCAAGTTGAGGAATTAGAAAGCATTGTCCAATGTCCCAAATAATGATCAAGTATTTGGGAAGTGCAGGGTAAGCAGTAGTAAAGAGAAGGAGATGAATTCGGAAGGGTGGGTGGAGGTGAGATTCTTTTTTTTTTTTTTTTTTTTTGAGACGGAGTTTCGCTCTTGTTACCCAGGCTGGAGTGCAATGGCGCGATCTCGGCTCACCGCAACTTCCGCCTCCCGGGTTCAGGCAATTCTCCTGCCTCAGCCTCCTGAGTAGCTGGGATTACAGGCACGTGCCACCATGCCCAGCTAATTTTTTGTATTTTTAGTAGAGACGGGGTTTCACCATGTTGACCAGGATGGTCTCGATCTCTTGACCTCGTGATCCACCCGCCTCGGCCTCCCAAAGTGCTGGGATTACAAGCTTGAGCCACCGCGCCCGGCCCGGAGGTGAGATTCTTAAGGGCCTTGAATGTCAAGCCCAAGGAGTTTGCATTTTATTAGCAAAAGGCATGGATAGGGAGGGAGGGTCACTGTCAGAAGTAGATGCAAAAAATAAATATGAGGGAAGAGCAGGATCACATCAAAACAACATACCCTGGAATTTAGAGGTATGTTGTCTAAATCCCCCCAAAATATTCCATGAGTAGGAAGCTGTTCTTCTTTTAAGGTGAGGCTGGAAAAGGTCAGAATATTTCTAAGGGATCAAGTTTATTGCAGTTACATCTAGTTAAAAAAGATGTGGAGACCAAAGAAGCTACCTTCTAAGCTCTCCACTTTCCTGGAAGAGGTTCTCATCGAACAACTCTAGAGTATTTAGATATTTTTAGCATTTTAGTATCTTTAGTGCTTTAGCAATTTATATACAATCATTATTCCATAGCCAGTAATTCAACATGAATTAACCTTGTATTAGTCAGAATATTTGGTAAAGAGCAGAGAAGTGAGTTTACAAGGTACTTTTACAATTATAATCTCATTCAAGCTTTAAAACAATTTTGAGACAGGAGTGATGATCCCATTTCACAGGTAAAAAATAAAATAAAATAAACCCAGGGAGGTTAAGCAACTCACCCAAGGTTGTACATCTGGTAAGTGACGGATTAAGATCTCAAACCCATGCCTTGTCTTTTTGAATTGCAAGCTCTTTTGTCTACACCAAAAACTCCCAAGCTATTCTCCACCAAGCCTAGGATACAGCAGGGGCATACAAAGGCACTGTGCTTCCACTCATTTTATATGTAGGGTGTTGTCATTGTATATGTTGAGTCTGTCTGCAATGTCCTATTTACAGTAGGTCTCTGCATCTAAAAATTTTCAAAAATTGGTGTTCCATGGCAGGGTGTTTTAAACCTCAGTACTACTGATATTTTGAGCGAGATAATTTGCTGAGAAAAGCTGTCTTGAGCATTGTGGGATTTTTAGCAGTATCCCTAGCTTCTACCCTAACCAGGTGCCAGTAGCAACTCTCCCCAGCCCCACGAGTTATGGCATCATAAATGTGTCAAGATGTTGTTCTATGTCCCAGAACCACTGCTGTACGGGATGATGCCCTCTTAGAATGCCCTGTGCTAGGGACAGTGGAAATACTAGGACACAGAAGATCTGGCCCCTTAAACAGAAAGATGAGCCTTGAAAATAGTCATTGCACAAGATAGAACAGTGATGGTAATAAAAGACTAACTGATAAAGAAGAAGAAAAGATTAAACGGTTACTCTAAGCGATGATGTGGATTGGTACTCTAGATGCAATTTCTATACGTTCATTAAAAATAAAACCAGAGTCTCAGGATCAACCAGGGGGTATTCACTGAGGACATGAGTATGTATCATCCTAAACTGAACTTTCTGACAAAAAGGTCAGTTATGCCTTCCAGGATAAGAGTCTTATCCAGAGTTAAACTCCAGGATAAGTCAGATTATCAGATGGGTGCTTAGGTTAAGAGGAATCTCTCAGCCCATTCCCCCAACTAATGTTGGTCATAAAATCGTGGCATTCTTTAATGTTTTGTTGAAGAGTGGTCTTAACCAGAAGAAAAATTACCAAACATTGGTTTAATATGACAGTGGGTTCTCTGTATTTAGATAAGGCTAGATACAAACTTTCTAACCATATTTTCTTCCACTTTCAAACACATCAACCATCTAGAAATTTTGTCAGTGCAAATAGCTTTTATTGGTACTGAGGCTCAAGATCACAGAAATTATAGAACTTTTTTTCTCAGTAACGATGTAGCGATGACTTCTTCTCATCATTTTCCCCCTCTTCTCCCCAAGATTTGACTCTTAACTTCATATTCATTGAGCAAGATTCTTTCTCTTAAGTTTGATTCTTTTTCAGACAAAAGACAATTTAACCTTGTTAGGACTCCTTTATCAAGATGATAAACACATAAGAGAGAATTTAACTCATTTATTTGCTCCAAATAAGTGGAGTCTCCCAGCAAGGTAGGTGAAGCAGCTGACATAAAGCAGAAATTTATGAATGGGAAAAAAGCGATGATGCTTTTCAAGAGCAATAATAAAATCTGAAGACCTAACACTGAATTAAAGACATTGGAATATATTTCTATCTAAAGCTTGGCTTTCTTGCTAGAGAATACTCTGGAAATTGGTGGATGCACAGGTAGATGGACATGGGCCCTTTGGAAGGGGCAGCATGGCCCTGGCCTTTTACATGAAATTCAGGAAATGCCTTTTCTAGTCCCAGATCTGTCACTAATTCCCCAAATGACATGGAGTGGAAAAGAATATTATTTTCCAGCACCCTCTCTGCTCCAAAATCAGACGGACAACCTCTGGGCATAACAGAGAAGTAGTCTACTTGAGGCAACTTAGGGACTGAGCTGTCTACCTGAAGTGCCCTACAGTCCCTGCATCTGTGAGATGGGACATTTTTCCAGTTCCTTTGAAAGCAGAGATTAACATAGTGGCAGCAGGAAGTGATATTTCTCCACTTGTGCTCGCACAGCTGACTCTCTTCCAGAATGCCATCTTAATGTCAGCATTAGCCTCCTGCACAGATTCCAACATCCATGGGGCACCAGCAGGCCTCCCCCTGCAGAACGCTGCATGCTGCTTGGCTGACTGCTGGTGCTCATGTGGAGACCACCCTGTGCCCCTGCCTACACACCCAGTGAGTTGCCCTCCTAGAGCTGAGAACTCACTGAGTGTCAGGCTGCAGGGGCCCTCTGGGGACGCATCTCATCTTAAGTTGTGGTTTTCAAATATGTTCTTCCCAGTAAACATTTTCTCATAGAAAATCTTCAGTGGGGCCCAGTATAAAGAAGAGACAGAAGCAAGCTGCTCTAGCTGAAGTTGGCTCTGCTTGCTCATCATCCTCCTTGGTTACCTTGAAGCCCCTTGAGGGACTATGGCTTGAATCTTGCTGCTCTGGCCACATTCCCATTGGACAGAAGAGGAGGTCAGAGTTCAGAGAGAGGAAGAGCAGTCTGCCTCTGAAATCCCAAACCCAGAAGTATTCCACACAGCTGAAACCCATTGGCTTTGTCTAATTGCCTACCCAACACTAGCCCCTAGAATACATGCTTTTTCTGGCTATAAATGGAAGAGAGGCTCTTCCCTTTACTTCTAAATAAAAGCACAAATATGCCATGTGACCCCCAAGTAAGTCAATATTCCTCTCCAAAATTATATTTTTTCCTCTGTTCAATGAGAGGGTGGATTGAGATGATCCCCAGGGTCCTTTCAATTCTGGAATTATAATCCCAATCTACCTCGCCAGACCTTCCAAAATAACCCCACCAAACCCTCATTATCATAGTCAGGATTAACACCAAAAACCAGAAATTGTATGTTTATAACAGCTACTTCTCAATGTCACATAGCTGCAAGTGCTCCAGTAAGAGCCTGAAGCCTGCTGGGGATGCCTTGGTGGCATGTCATCTGAACAGAACTTGTAAACATACAATGCCAACACTGTCCTTTACCAAGCAACTTCAAATATCACTGACTTGACTTTGGCAGGATAAAACTCCCTGTTTTGAGGCATTTTTGCTCTGGGACTAAATTTCCCTCCCAGACCTGTATAGGAGTGGGTTTAAGAAATCTTCCAACTCATAGGAATATTTTCCAGCTCAGCCCAACCCCACAAACTGCCCTTCCCACCCAGGCCCATCAGGGCAATGATGATGAAACTGCTGATAAGGCACCTCAGTAGCCTGAAGAAAGAAGGACCCCCAAGTCTGTGGTCCGGATATTCACATTTATCAAAATCCCTCTCCTGCCCTGCCTGATTTCCCACAGTTCTTGGTCTTCAAGACTCATGCACATCTGCACAACAGCATCTGCTTCCTTGGAATGTGGCTGCAATGTTTAGATTCCTGTAGTGCATGGATGAGGCATGCAAATCAGGGCTGGTTAATGTTGCAGGCAATAGGCAAAGCACAGATACTGGTCAGGGAGTCAGCCAGCCTGGGTTCTGGGTGTCATTCCATACTCACTAACCTTGAGCAAATGACTGCACCTAGAAGGGACTCTGTTTCCTCCTCTATCAAATACAAAGGGTTAAACCAGATGGTCTCTAAAGTCCACCTTGCCTTGATATTCTGTGCATCTAGGACCTTAGAAATAATGATCCAGGCTGGGCGTGGTGGCTCACGCCTGTAATCCTAGCACTTTGTGAGACCGAGG